ATTAGAAAATGCATAGCTTTTCATTAACTATAAAAAATGAGTGTCATCTAAAAATGAATGTCATTTAAAACAAATATCTAACAAAGAAATTCTGAATATAATATGTCAATTAAATGTAAGTTAGAAAAAAATGAAGAGAACTCGGGTATGCATATATACAAAAGGCGAATGAAGATAAGAGTGCCCCCCCCCACACCAAATAAGAAGCTGCAGCTGAAGAATACAAACAATTCCAATTAGTTCATTGAATTAAAATCTTATCAAATCAAGATAGTTTTCAAGGTATCAGTTTCTTGGACTTTGAATTGTATAAAATGAAAACAGTGGATCAAGACACAAGTAAAATAGCAATATATAATCCCGATTATCAAAAAAGGAAAAACAAAATAGTTATACAGTGGTATTTTTTTTTTTTTTTCTATTTTTTATGTTTGACATTTCTGGTTTAGTCTTGATAGGTACAATTTTATTCTTGTATTTAAATTATATAATGACAAATACTCTTTGTCCATCACAAAATAATCTTGAATACAAACAAAAATACTAACATTTATATAATTTTGTAGGATACTCCAGCTTTGATCAAGTTTGGACATACATGTCATATGAAATTTGATAAATTTCTGAATGTTTACATTTTCAGCTATTTTAAAGAAATGAGAGTTCAGACAACAAAAACTGTTTTTACAAAATGGATGGAAAACTTGGACCTTCATACCCAAAAAAAAAAAAAAAAAAAAAAAAGACAGTGTCAAAAGCACAGTTTTCTCCTTGACACTGCAATAATTTTAACTGCCTTCACTCCTTGGCAATGTTTATCATTTTAAAAAGCAATGATTAGAATTGTAATAAAACTTAAAGATAAGATGAAAGTGAATTTATACATTTTTTTGTTCTTGAGAATTCACAACAAAAATAATAAACATTATTTATTAGAACATTTATTTACACTATTTACTTATTATATTGTTTATTGAAATGGTTGGCAAAACATCAGCTAATTGCCAAATGATTCAAACTTTATAAAATGGTAAATATTAAGGATTTTGTTGTAGTTGGTTCACATATTTTAATAATTTTGTAAATTTATAAATAAAAAATTGTTTTCACATTTATTTCTTTATAAATTAGAAAATGATAAATATTGCATTGCATTAGTTTTAATTGTATTAGCTTTTAGGATGTTGTAAATATAAAATTATTCTTGTAAATAAACAATCTAATAAATAAAGTGTTTAATATTTTTGTTGTAAATTCTCAAGAACAAAAAAAAAATGTGTAAGTTCACTTTCATATGTTTAGGTTTTATTACAATTCTAATCATCACTTTAAAACAATAAACATTGCCAAGGAGTGAAAGTAGTTAAAATTATTAGTGTCATGTAAAAAAACATTCTTTTGTCACACCGTTTTTTTTTTGTTGTTTTTTTTTTTTGCAGTTCCAAAAAAAGTCCAAGTTTGCCAAACAGATTTTGGAAAGGTTTCAGCATCATTTTTGTACATATTCCATAGTAAACTCATGTTTTACCAATTTTGCTATTAAGCTGTTTTTATGTACACAGGGTCATTTCCTTCATTTTTCATTGGTAAGAAAGAAGATCCATTCAGACAGCTTCATCCCAAGAGCCACTGCTTTGTGAAACAGATTCCCAACTCTTCAAGTGTAGGGACAGTTGTTATCTATCCTACATATCCTCATAATCTACACTTCTTACCTCCTCCTCCAATTTCAGTTACCCTTTATGTTAAGTCACTCTCAGGACTTGTTTTCTGTGAACAATAGCGTGAAAAAAAGATTTATCTTGAACCAATCATATCAAGTTTGTAAATTCCAGAGGTAATATATAAACCAACTCATATTTTATAAATATTTATGTCTCTGAATAAATACAATGGGGGCTATGCTTGCTATTGTTACAGTCATTCTCTTGTTTAGACATGCATCTGCATTTGTTTGTTAGGTCTTCAAATAAAAACACGTCTGTCAGTTTTATTCTCCTAAACTGAACCTTAGGATATAGTTTACAATTTGTATGCATCAAATTACTAAAGGACTTTGTTTTATTGACCTTCACATACACAACACTAGGATGGCCGAGGTGTTGTTTTCGACACCTTCAAATTTTCAACAAATTACTATGGAATAACTAGTTTTGGTTCGATGCTGAGGCTTATGGACAATTATTGAATTTTAGCAAAGATGCTTAACAGACTTAATTCTTAAAAAATATTCAGTGGAATTTGATATTTGAGGTTTTCCTTGAATGGCCGAGGTGTCGTTTTTGACACCTAGGCTATTTATAGGGTAAATGCATTGAAAAATTTCTCACAAGCAATAATACTTGTGTTTATTAGTTTATCTATCTATCTATCTATATCTATATACATATATATATATATATATATATATATATATATATATATAATAATCTTTCTTTCAGTATGAGGTATACTAATATTTGTGAATTTGATGAATTTGTCTTCTTTTCAGACTTGTTATTCCTGACTAGAATATTGAATATATTAGAGATGGCTGCTTCATGGTGTAATGTAAATAAAGACGTCAAAAGAGCTGGCCATACTAGTGTTAAAAAAGATAGCTTCCTATCTAAACATTTCTGCAAGTGTGAACATTCTTGCATCAGTAAGCCAACTATTTCATTTTTAGTCATTTGCATTATGTAACAGAACAAAATTTGTTGTAAATTTACCTTTGTCTGTTTCCCCTACCCATCTCACATCAGTAGAAAAAAAACAGTTCATATTGCTAACACATAATTTGCATAAAAGGTTTTAAAAGCATATTTTAATAAATATTTTGGTAAACTTAGAACTTTGCACGTGTCAAAAAAAAAAAAAAAAAAAAAAAAGAGTGCCAAAAGGACATTTTTTCAATTGACTCCGCTATTTTTAACTAACTTCATTTTTCAGCAATTTTTATTATCTTAAAAAGCAATTAATTAGAACTGTACTAAAATCTAAATATATGAAAGTGAATTTATATATTTTCTTTGTTCTTTGGAATCAGCAACAAAAATAAAAATTATTTTTTTATTAAATTCTTTATTTACACTATAATATAATTTAAATATTATTTATTGGAATGGTTGGCAAAACATTGGCCAAGTGCCAAATGATTCAAATTTTATAAAATGGTAAATAATAAGGATTTCTTTATAGTTGAAAAAAACACATTTTAATAATTTTGTAAAGGTTTATAAATTTGTAAAAAGTTGCTTTCATATTTATTTCTTTATAAATTGGTAAATGATAAATATTGCATTAGTTTAGTGTATTAGTTTTTAAAATCTTGTAAATATAAAATTATTCTTGTAACTAAACAAATGCTGTTTAATATTTTTGTTGTAAATTTTCAATAACATAAAATGTATAAATTCACTTTCATCAAAGGTTTAGTTTTTATGACAATTCTAATCAATGCTTTTTAAAATAATAAACATTGCTGAGTAGTGAAGGTAGTTAAATAGTGGTATTATGACACACTGTTTTTTTTTTTTTTTCCTTTGCAGGCATGACAGTCCAATGTTTCTAATATTTATTCTGTGTTATTTATTTTTAATTCAAATTTTTAAGTTACAAAGAAGCAATTCTTCTGTTTACAAAGTTTTATTTTCAAATTTATTGTATTTTTAAAGAAAGAATTTATATCTGCCTTGTCAAAATTCAGTCCTACATTAGAAAACCTACAACATTCAGAAGAAGCACTGTTGCACTTTGCTATTTCACATTACTGTAAATTAGTGAAATGGAGCCCAAAAGAAATTTTATGGTACAGTGTAACCCGGATATAAGAGAGTTGTCGGGACCAGAGAAGAAGTCTCTTATATCCGGGTTTGGTCTATTTTATATACATTAACACAGGCTCTAATTTGGGACCAGAGATAATCTCTCTTATATCCGGGTTTCTCTTATATCCGGGTTTGGTCTATTTTATATACATTAACTGTACAGAAAAAACTCTTCAGTTAAAACAGGCTCTAATTTGGGACCAGAGAAAATTTCTCTTATATCCGGGTTTGGTCTATTTTTTATACATTAACACAGGCTCTAATTTGGGACCAGAGAAAATCTCTCTTATATCCGGGTTTCTCTTATATCCGGGTTTGGTCTATTTATATACATTAACACAGGCTCTAATTTGGGACCAGAGATAATCTCTCTTATATTATGGTTTCTCTTATATCCGGGTTTGGTCTATTTTATATACATTAACACAGGCTCTAATTTGGGACCAGAGAAAATTTCTCTTATATCCGGGTTTGGTCTATTTTTTATACATTAACACAGGCTCTAATTTGGGACCAGAGAAAATCTCTTATATCCGGGTTTCTCTTATATCCGGGTTTGGTCTATTTTATATACATTAACACAGGCTCTAATTTGGGACCAGAGAAAATCTCTCTTATATCCGGGTTACACTGTATATTTAAATAAGTCAAAATAATGTTTAATTAGAATTAGACTATCTTAGAACTGTACAGAATTATTTAAACAAGTGAAAAAATACTAAGTTTGCTGAATTCATTTATATTATTATTATAAACATTAGAAAATTATTTAAATATTTCTATTACGGTCAGCTCTATACAGCTATATTCAGAGTAGGAAATTCAAGTGGACTTAGTATAATGACAAAAAAGAACTATGGAAAATAGATGTCTTGCTGAAAATGTTTATACAGAATTTTTAGCAAGGTAACATTTTTTTCTATAACAACTTTTCTCTGCTTGCAGGAAAAGTATTCAGCTAGTCAAAATAAGTTGTCTCTCCTTTTGCAAAATGTCTGTTTAGAATGTAGGGATTTAGTCAAGAGGGGGAAATTAATAATAAAGAACAAATCCAAAGATTGTCGATTTTCTTTATCTTTCAATGTGAAATAAAAATAAAGCGAGTTTAGAATAAGTGGGATTGATTGTGAATTGGTTGGGTTCAAGTGATTAACCACCTGACTTTTGGTCATCCATTACAGGTGAACTTACCTGGGACAGCTTCCTTTACATTCACAGCCATGTATGTATCAATCGCATCATTCCTGTTGGCATTCTCAATGTTTGCCCCCTTCACCACCGTCACAAGCTTTACTCGGATGAATCCAACACCCGACATTTTGTGAATGAGAAGATGTTGGCGGACTGGCAAGATAGTTGGTAATATTCTTTGAAAAATTATTTAGATTCTAGAAATTAAAAAAAAAAAAATAAGAATTCAAAAATAAAAGAAAGTACAGCAGCAGCAGGACCAGAGAGCAGGTATGAGCAAAAGAGAAAGGTTGGATACTGTTTTGAGAGAGAAAGAAGTCAGGTACCAGAGAGATAGAGAGAAACATAAGGGAGGACATTGGTGTCTCTCTCTCTCTCACACACACACACACACACACACACACACAAATAAAAATGATGACATTGACTCCATACACAGTGAGACAAAATGAAGGCAAGGACAAGGATCCACACACACAGGGATGGAATAAGCATGAGGACATTCGCACAAAACACACAGATGAAATGAGAGCAAGAACCTTGGCTTCCCACACAGAGAGATGTAACAAGAGTGGAGATGTTGGCTCCACACTCAGAGAGATAGAACGGGACCCAGGATGTTCGTTCCATACACAAATGGAACAAGAGCAAGGAATTTGGATCCATATGCAGATGGAATGTAAATGAGAATGTTGGTTCCACACAGAGAGAGAGAGAGAGAGAGAGATGGAATAAAAGTGAGGATGTTGGCTCCACAAACAGATGTAATGAGAGCAAGGATGTTGGTTCCAGACAGAGAAAGTGGCAGGAGAGTCAAAGTGAGAGCAAGGATGTTGGTTCCAGGCTGAGTTATCTTCAGGATAGGAAAACCAAGATAGAGCCAGCATAGCAAGAACAAGTGATAGTTGGCTCAAAGAGAACAAATTGGAAAGAAGACATCTGGTTAGAGAATGGATTAAGAGATTTGGAGAATGGGGGTGAAGGGTGGGGAGAGCTTTATCTTATTTTTACTCATATTTATTTCTTGGCAGCTTAAAGATGACTACCTTTTTCTTTCAAATAAGAAATCAGATGAGATTCTTTAATCCATTGGTTCTTTGAAACATTTCCAATCATTGCTACCATTCTACTTTGCTTTACCTTAAGTCTCACTACCTTTGTTTTAAATGTAAAAATTGTTTATTATTGCCTTCTACCATATATATATATATATATATATATATATATATATATATATATATATATATATATAAAGAATCCTGAAGAGAAGCATTCATCAAAATTCTGGTGTATATAAGCACAAAACATGTCAGATTTCAGGTTATAAAAGAGCAACAAGATAGCCACCAAGTTGGGGAGTAATATAACCAAAGTGTCTCATAATCCAAGCATCAAATGTTTATATTAAGAATACACTAAGAGCCAGTTCCAGTGAAAGAGCCTTGTCCCTCACTCCATGGAATCTATGATACACCTTCCTATTTATGATTGGGGGCTCCCTACTCTACATCATCTCAATTTTCATACAGTTTTATTCATATAATAGTCTGTTTTAAATTCAAACATACACACATATATATATATATATATATATATATATATATATATATATATATATATATATATATATATATATTTTAAGACATTTTTAAGTTATTAAAAAGTAGACTGTTTATACAGCACCTCAAAAATTTGATGACAGTTTTTCAATTGGCAGTCAAACAGATCATTTTTATTTAGATAAAATGGAACCAAGATGCAAGGCAGTAACTTGCAATGCTAGACTAGACTAGTTTGTTTTCATACAGCAAAGTTACATTAATGGGAATAAGTAGTTAGTTTCCTGTCAAGATACAGAATGAAAAGTATTCCCTTGGAATCTATCTGTATATAATAGAAAAAAAAAAAATATTTATCTCTTTGGATACATTGATTTGTTTTTTTTCCCCAGCTTATCAACCTTTTGCAGGTTATTTAAAGCCAGAATATATTTTTAGATTGCAAAATAATAATTTACTGATACAGATCCTACTAATTAACCCATAGCTCTGAAGAAAAGGTCAATTCACACCTTTACTAAGGGTATTTGCATGTAAGTGAATATAACAAACTTGAATAGGATTTGAACTCGGCTCTCCAATCTCAAGCTGTTATCTATTACCCCACCCACATATACAGCACCTGGTATTTACACGCAGTCACCCATCTAGATACTAACCAGACTATGTAAAATATGATATATAAATCTATATATCAAGCTAACAACAGGTAACTGAATGACAAAGATTGAAAAAAAAAAAAAAAAAAAAAAAAAGGACATATTTTGGCATCAAGAAATGCAGAAGATATAGAAAAACTTAACTTTAATAATAAAGGCAATAAAAATAAAGTTGAGATTTTTTTTGAGATAATGATTTTTTGATAGAAGTCCTACTATTTAATCCATATCTGGAGAGAAAAGGTGGATTAATACCTTTCCTAAGGGTATTTGTGCATAAGTGAATATAACAAACCCAACTGGGATTGAAACTGCTATCTGATTTCTCATTGCAAGCCATTATCCATTACACCACCTGCACATCCACCCTTACAGCATCTGGCATTCCCAAGAAGTCACCTATCTATGTACTGACCAGGCTCAACATTGCTTAACTTCTGTGATCAATCAAGAACCAGCGTTTCAATGTGATATGGCTGTAAGCCTTAAATTTACTAAAAATCCATTATTTAAATCACTTGTCTACTGAGATATGAAGTTCAAGATAATGCAATTTGTAATTTAAAATGGAATCAAGTTTTTTCTTTTTTAAATCAGTTTAAAATTAAATGGTACAATAGAGAAGATGGTTTTGACATTTTCAATTTCACAGATTCAGTCAAGTTCCTATGTGTAGGATTAAACTTTTTTTTTTAAACTACGTACTTGATCTGATAGAAGAATTCTTTTAAAAATTTAATCCAGAGCCCAATATTGATATATCATGAGGATAATCTTTTAATCCTATAAACAAAGAATTTGTAAAAATGAGAAAAGTAGGTCATCTCAGGCATTTTATTTTGAATGAAATTTAAATTTTATAAATTATCAAACTACATAATATATAGAACAACTAAAACTATGCACCATGACTTATAATGATCAAAACCGAGTCTTAGAATTGGGCAAAAATAAAAACAAAAAATCACATACAATAATAAAAGCATGAATTCTATTTTATAGAATGTTTTCATGATTTCAATAAAGTCCATTCTGTTAAAAAATATGATTTAGAGATATAAGTTTTGTTTGATGTGCAAATGAAACAGCCAAGTGCTGAAACACTATTCAAATTCTTTTTCTTTCTTACAACATAAGTACTGTTGTATTAAATAGATTTATCATGAAATATATGAAAATTATATTTGAAATTATATCCACACAGATGTTTGCATAATGCAAAACACAAAGTTTGCACTTTGCAATTTTTGTGCTATGTATTGATACAACAGACAAAACTTTATATGTTATAAACTTTGAAAAGAAAATATCATCAAAAGAGTTTGTTTTAATATAATCTTTTCTTAAAATATGTTGTATTTTGTTGATGAAAATCATTCAAATTATCTTCAATATTTTATCTTGCAATCAAACTGTTTTATTAATTGGAAGATAATTTTTCTAGTCATATAATAATTATTTTTTGATCGTTTATTTTGGGGGGGGGATATCTTGTACTTAGCCTTAACGTGTGAACAACATTTTATATGTATTCTTATCTACACTTTTGCATCATGTGAAAATAATTGATAATAAGCAGGTTTTACTTTTTTTACTAACAATGTGTTGCATCTATAGAAAAAAGCAAAATTGAAAAAAGTTACTTTACATTATCCCAATTAACTTTTAAGATCGTTATAAATATCCATCAATAAAATTATCTCAAACTCAGAGAATATCAAGTTAAAAGACAAATTAACAAACAGATTCTACACTGTGATCTCACTGGAGGAGTTTTTTTTTTTTTTTTTTTAAAATCACACTTTGCATATAAAAATCTTTTCACTAGGTTAAAAATGGTTTTGACAATAGAAAAATATCAAAGATGAATGATAACATCTGAATTTTTGGGACAAAGGATTATTATTTACACTATTTATATGCTGACTATTGTCCTCATCTTTGTTGTTATCACAACATTTTGGCTGTTGTACCTACTGGACTTGATCAGTCCCACAGGACAATAGCCTAGTAGATAAAAGTATTGCTTAGTGAATTTAGTGACATAGTAATTGTTAGTTCATTCCCTGGGATGGGCAGTGTGTACTTGGACCAAGTGGAAACAGAGTGAGCAATAATTGAAAACTACTGAAAAAAAAAAAAAAAAAAAAAAGAACTACGCGAGATATCCCTAGATGTAAGCAGTGGAACAAAAACAATCTACCCTCATAGATTAAATAATAGGTTCAGTTTCAAATTCCCTGTAGGTTTCCAGGATCAACATACACCTGATGAAGGCAAGAGACCACAATGACCGAAACACCTAGATGGGTGACCACTGGTGACTACCAGCTGCTGTAAGCTTGGATATGCAGGTGGTGTAAAGGCTTGGAATGAGAAATTGAGGAGCTAAGTTTGAATTCTAACCAGGTTCATTATATTCACTTACATGCAAATAACATTGGGAAAGGTATTAATCCACCTCTTCTCCTCCGAACTATGGATTAAATAGTAAGATGTGTATCAGAAAATTATTATCTCAAAAAAATTCTTACAATCACAAAATATGTTTCTGCTTTAAAGGTATAAAAAAAAAATAAGGCTTGATAAACCTAATTTTAAATAACATTAAATAATTTGTTATTGTTTAATATCCTTGGCAAATTTGTTGATCATTGTTTTTATGAGCATAACATCACATACTAAAGCTGTGACAAAGTTTTCAGCTATGTTACAAATAAACCAATCCCTTGATACCAACTTAACTCAGTTAACATACTCACATCATTCTATACAGTTTATATGTTAAAGAAATTATTTGCAATCCACTAATTTTGGTAATTTGATGCCATAGAGTAGAAGCTGTGAAACATATCCAAGATAAGGGAAGCTAAAAACATTTTCAGAATTTGTAGGAAGTAAGTAAATTCTTATAACAAGTCAAGCCCCAAAACTCACAACTATAATTTGACTATTATCTTTGGTACAAGGCTAATAAAATGTTAAACATTTTCAAAATGCAAATAAATTCTATTTGATTATTACAAGCAGTTTTAAAAACTATTTTGTTCTTGTTAATAAGTTTTATGATTTTTTTTACACAGCCTGATTAGCCACAGAAATAAAGTAAAATTTTAAAAATGAAAACTAATTGTGATATTAGTATATACGATAGTTATTATAATTAATAAAGATATATAAAAAAGGTTAAAACAGGTCTCAGAATATCAATTGCTACTGAAATTATTCATAACTTGTATGTAAGTTTTCTATATCATCCAGAAATTAAAAACATTAGTCTATGAAATTTGTTTAATCCCATTGAGAAGTGAAATTCATAGACAATAATTCCATCAAAGGGAACAAGTAGGTCATTTGTCTTTTTTCTGTAATAAAATACTTATCAAAAGATCCCAAGTTGCACCATATATAACTTTTCACTTAATCATAGCAAAAGTGAGGTGAGGAGGAAGTATCAAAATATATTTTTGATAAGCCAAGACTGCTAACAATTCTTTCAAGGTTCTTCAAGAATAAAACACCTAGATAATAGATGGGTGTATGTATGTGTGTAGCAGGAGAAAACATGACAGTAATCCAATTAAATAAGAGACAAAATATAGGAAAACCATGTTAAATGGAGTGGGGGGGTGAAGAATAATTGACCTATCAAGAACTGTTTATTTTTATCCTGTACTGACACTGTCCTGTTTACAAGTAAAGGACTATAGAGGGTGCAGATGGGTAAATTGTCATCATTTTATATTTTTAATTTCACACATGCATGTTGTTAGTTTTTAATTTTGTTGACTGCATAGTATAGTAGTCAGTTGGCCAGTGTCTGTGAGAAAAAGAGCACCATGACACAATTCACTCTACCAGAAATTTGGAAACAGCATACTGTACTGTTTGGCATTCAAGCCAGAAGTTCCAATAAAAACATTTCAGAGTGTTTGGGTGTCAATCTAAGCATAATGCAAAGGATTCAGAAACAGATGGATGAGTCTAATGGTGATTACAAAGGTATTTGGAGAGATCACTAGTGATGGCGACATTATGCTTCCATTCAACTTCCCACAGGTCCTCAGACCCAACATGGAGGTCTACATCAAATTTTCTTGAGGAAGTAGTGCTACCCTGGGTCAAGAGGGTGGCTGCTGGAAGACTATCTCTGCACCATGCCACACAAGCAGGAGAACCCAGCCATGGCTGTCAAACAATTTCTGCAACCACATCACTCCTTACGTCTAGCCACCTAAATCCTCAGACTGCAAACCCCTTGATTATTATGCATGGAGCATGGTTGACCAAGAGACCAACAAGACTCCTTATAACACCAAAGATGAACTGAAGGCAAGGATTATGGCAGCATTCACCAACTTAAACAAGGAGAGCATCCAGAAGAGTTGCAGGGGATTCCAAAGTCATCTGGAGGCCGTGGCTAAACCCAATGGCAATTTTATTGAATAAATTTACTCTTTAGTATTTCAAGATATTTTTGTTTAATTTTGGTAAATATATCTATTTTTCTGTAATTTAGATGATAATCTATCTATCTTATAAAACAGAAACACTATTAAGGAGCAAGAACAATAGAAGAGTAATCAGGAAGACAGTAGATAATGATTGATATTGCATTTAAATTTTTGAAGATCATAGTTAGACTGGAAGTGAAGAACAAGCTGCTATCAAGATTTTAACTCATATCCTCAATTCTTGGTAGCCTGTCTTGCCATGACAGCATCTTACAAATTAGGCCACAAGAGTAGCTATTTCCTATCCAGCCTATTTTATAGTCATAGAACAGCCTAAAAGGCATGATAAAAAAACAACAGAAATAAATACTAGTCAAAAATAAATACGGCTTCATCTAAGAAATTCAAATATAGCAGTTATCTCCTTTGAACATATAATGGAAGCTATTCAGCAAAGTTTTCGAAGCTTTAATCAATGCCGAAGTGGTTAAGCACTTTACATCCCATGATCTGCTCTCCGACAAGCAATATGGTTTCCACTTTGCCTGTTCTACAGCTGATGTGCTTATGGCCATAACTGAAATTGTTTACCAAGCACTTCATAATAATGGAGAAGCTTGTGCTGTGACTCTAGATATCTCCAAAGCATTTGATAGGGTTTGGCATACCAGCCTTCTTCACAAGCTTCAGGGATATGGAATTTCAGGTTGACTGTTGACTTAATACAATCATTTCTGTCAAACCGTGTATTAAAGGTCTCCTCCAGCTCCTATCCCACAAACACAGGTGGTCTCCAAGGCTCTATCCTAGGCCCTACTCCATTCGTTATTTTCATTAACAATCTTACTGATGTCATAGGTTCCCAAGTAGGCATCTATGCAGATGACACTACTACTTACTCCTGCCTCAAAAACAAATCTAGTGTCGCTGACAAAATTAACCTGTCCGTTCGAAAAGGGCCTCCAACCAGTTGTGGACTGGGGCAAGAATTAATGCCTCAAAAACAAAACTGTTCTCTATTACTCACC